CCAGACCAAAAAGGCCCCCAATCTTGAACTGGAAGAGGATTCCCCTTCATGCCAGCGATGGTTTTGCAGACCTTTATCATGTTCCCCTGAATTGCGTCTTTTTCTAGGCCAGAGAAACTTATCCTATTGAAGCACTGTCTCTCACACATGGCTACAGACCACTCCTCTGGCGCTTAACTCTTGCTCATGCTGAGATTTCCACAACAAGACTTTCACTGTCTCACAATTCAACATCCAAGACTTACAGCAAGTTTCAACATTAACTGGCTGGCTGCTTATCAGTTTTTCTTAAAATGTTCAAATGTAACATTTTCTATATTCAATTATTATCTATTTAGTCAACAAAATTACACTAGTTGTTTTATTCATTTTATTCATCCGAGTTTTATTCATCCGAGTTTTATTCATCTTGTATGTCTTTGATACTATTTTAAGTCATTTTCTGTATTCCACTATATTTTAAATAAAATCCTTTTAAAATATCAGTCCTTTGGAATGCTTTCTTTTTTTAAAGAGCTTCTTTGGATTTTCTGGATGCTACATTGTGCTTCAAGGTTAGAGATCGTATAGAATCAAGGACATCTGTCTTATAAATAGGAAGAGGGAGTTTGGGAGGGTGGGTTTCTTTTTCTTAAGTTGGCCTGTGACTCAGTTCTACGCAGTTCACACAGGCTGTATGTACTTCTGTACTTTCCACTAACATTTGACTTGTTGCTTTCCTTTCTTACCTGTGCCAACTGACTAGAACAAATCAAAATTCCCTTCTTTCCCAAACTTTTCTGCATGCAGCTGGTTTAGTCTCACATGTCTGCAAGTTTAGAATAGTTATTGGATATCCAAAAAGGCAACAAATTCTGGTATTTCACAAGAAATCTGTTTCCTACCTTATCTGGCATATGGCCCAACTGTACACACCATTAGTGAATCTTCAATCAACCTGCCATCCTCCCGTAATAGTTCTATTACAGTTTCAAGACCTTTTAAGATCATAAAGGAAAATAACCTTCCAAGATCTTTGAGCTACTTAAACTTTTATAAATCCTATAAATCATCAATATTAAAATAAAGAACAGATTCATTATCCAAATCAGGATTCACAATTCAGCAAGAAAACTATTTGGTTTTCTAGAGTTTTCCTGTACTTTTTCAAATGGTCACGTATCATTAGTCTTCCTGAACTGATAAAAGGACTTCTGCTTGGTGTAGTTCAGTATTTTTTGTTTGCTAGCTATACTTCCAAGTGGAACCATCACTCCTATCAAGCAGCTATCCTAGCCAGCCTCTTTGTTAAACTACAGAGCCCTATTACTGTATAATGAAGTTTTAAAGACCCATAAAGAAACCAAGTAATTAATTTTTTTCAAGTTTGAGATTCGTGGTTCCCGGACAAGAGTTTCTTTATCAGTTCCTGATCAAAGGTTACAAAAACCAGAGAGATGTAATATAAAACCAAAACTGGAAAGTCCATGGTTCACATTGCAAAGTGGACCTCACATGTGATCGAGCAAGGATGTGACCCAATGGGAGCAAAATGAATTTGCTGGGGACACACACACAAAAAATAGGAAACAAAGGACTTTTGGGGGACAGTGTGCAAAAACAAACAAAAAAACCCCAAACACACACACACAAAATATTCAAAAAGGTTGACATAGTTGGCAAGGGATAAGTGGAAAAATGCCTGTGACAGAAGCAGAAAGGAAGAGACAGTCCCCAGCAGCTGGATAATTCCTACTGTGCAAAGCAGGAGAGAACTTGGGGAAATGAACAGAAGTATTAGACAAAACAACACATCCAGACAGGAATAAACATCTTAACTAAAATAAATTAATGAGTTACAGTAGTAACCAACATAGACAATAGAGAAACAAAACTCCCAGACAGTTATAAAGTTTAAACAACAAATCTCCCAAAATATTCTTCCTTTGAAGCAAACTTCAGGCAGATCAAAAGTGGCATATTTCCAACAGAGTGATAAAAAAAGATTCCAGAACTAACAAGGACCAAAATCAAATCATATCCTCAATCCCAAGGGATTCTCTAACCAAACCCTTTTCCTCGACAGTTCATCCACATGTTAAACAAACAGAATAGAAGATGCAGATGCCTTGCTAGCAGGAGAGAGAAGACAGATCGTATCATTACAGGACTGCTGAAACTTCTTGAGTGCAAAATATGACAACTGAGAAATTACAGGCCCCATGCTTGGAGAAACCCACAGGAATGGTCCTAACGTGTAATTAACATTAGAATTCCGTGTCATATATACTTTAGACACTAGAAGCTTAAACCAGTGCAAAAAGCCCCCATGAACTAACAGAAGTAAAGAAAGGCACTACTTTGGTTCTTAAGCTCAAAGTTCTTAAACCACAAATAGGCTCAAGGCTGGAAGTGTATTCTGGGGGAGGTATGACCATGAGTTTGTCCTGTTTATGAACTCTTCTACAAGCTTCCACTGTTATCTGCTATCAGAGACAGGATACGAAACTAAACAAAAATTCAGTTTGATCCAGTAAAGCTATTCTAGAAGTGTACTGTATTGTGTCAGAAAATAAGTAAAAAAAAAAAGCAAACCAACCAACTAAACACTCAACAGAATATATTTAAAGACAGGCAAGTAAATGGATTATTTTATATATATATATATATACATATCTTGTAAGGAAAAAGAAATGTTAAGTCAATCCAAAAATGCATAAGCTGTATCTATACTGTTGACCAGTGACATGCAAAACCACTGTGCTAGTTTTGAACAGGAAGCAAAGCTTCAACCAGCACAGCAGAGCACAGAAATGCTGTTTAGGAGCTAATTAGCCTAGGTGCAGCACTTTATTAGTACTATTAACACAGCCATCCTGCTAACTTCCAAGTCACCATACAAGAGACTTCCTTATACCATAACCTGTGCTATTCAGCCCCTGCTAATCTCTACTCTCTTCCCTCACTTAAAAGTGAAGGAAATGGCAATGACGGTGACCTGATTAACAAAGTACATGCAAACAGTTATGCTCCACAGTGATCTTTAGCAGTGACCTTGCTTGTACAGGCAGAGATCCAGTTCCCAGTTTAGTAAAGAACCTCTTCCATCACATTACAAAAATCGATGCATATTTCCCTTCAGTGCTAGCTAAGCTCATGGACCAACAGGTAGATCAAAGTGCCAAAATCACAAGCTAGAGCTCTACAGCAAAGAACTCCTATGAGAAAAGGCAGGGGAAGGACTTCCATGCCAAAGAATAACTCAACTCAAAACTTTAAAAAAAAAAAAAAAAAAAAAAAAAAAAAAAAAAAAAAAAAAAAAAAAAAAAAAAAAAAAAAAAAAAAAAAAAAAAAAAAAACGAACAATGAAGAGCAATGTTGACTTTGAGACCTCAAAGAACCACTTAAAACCACACAAATACCAACCCTGGTTGTGCAAACAAGCAGGCATGCACAAACAGCGTGCAGATTTCCCCTCCTGTTCATAAAAGCAATTCTGCAAGATGTACACAAATCACAGCAGGTTGCATTAACAGTTGTCCAGTCCTACTCCAGACTTATTTTTAATTTAAAAATAAACTGTGTTACACGTTATTTCAATATTCTGCTGGATAACTGAGCAAGGGAAAGAATGAATTTAAGCGCAGTCTATAGAGAGATAATGTGAAGGCTGTAACGTAAGTGAAAAATGGCCACGTTGCTAAGATAAGGCCCCAACCACCAATCTCATTATCAAGCCTGGCCATCTGTCAGCAGAAACCTGATTTACTGCATATAATACTGCTATACTTGATTACTACTATACTGCTATAAAAGGCTCCTGGTTTTTTAAGCACACCAAAAGCTACTTTCAGCAACGCAAAAGGGTTAATAAAACACCTTCTCAGAAGCCAAGCTTTATGAAACCAGGTTTCAGAACTTTAAAATCAAATTTCACCCAGTTTCAATGTCACTGATAGATTAAATTCCTTTATAAATAAAAATATTAAAAACAGGGAAACAAAAACTGAAGAAAAACATAAAATGATAGTAAATTACAACCAGTTTCTACCTATAAGTAAGGCTGCTTGCACTGATGCTTGTTTTTTATGGAGATTATTTTGATGGCGGGCAATTGCAAAGAACTTTAGAAAAGGCACTCTAAGAAACATTCCTACAATATCACTATTCAAGAAAACCATTAATAAAGTGGCCACTTTGCTTCATTTGTTAACTAGTCTGGACATCCAAACTGTTTGCAAGAGCACTAATGACCTCAAGTGTCCTTAGACAGAGGTCTGTAAGCACTACATGCAACGATGACATAACACCTCATGGTGTAACAACTCAGATGACTGCATCTAACCCAACTCTTCCCCCTCCTACACGCCAGGACAAAAATGCCTGTGTATCAGATTCATCCTTCACATCAAATACCCACTGAGCAAAACAGCTGCAGGTACTTTCTCAGGTTAATCAAACAAATCAAGTAACAGCATCTAGTAATAACAAGACAATTTTTCTCTCTAAACAACAGCCCTACACTGCAGGTTGTTTTGTCCCATAGCGAGCAAACAGGAGCAACACACATCCTGAGCAGCTGCTCATTAGGTGAGCACCATTCTGCCTGCACAGCAAATGAAGCAAATGTCATGTGAAAACAACCACAGTTTACGGTCACGTAATTGGACACGGTAACACAGGCATATCCAAAAGAGGAGGGAAGACAGGTACAAATTACAGTTGCACAGGCAATTTATTTCTGGGAGTTTATAATTTTTGATGTTCCTGGACTTTAACCTTACCATTTCTTTTAATGAGGCTTGTTTCCAGCTTATTTTTTTCCTATTATAGAATAACAGGAAACTTTGAACGATCACCTCCTATAAAAAAAATACCCATCCCCAAATAATTATTTATTCTGAATGGAACACTTTATTTAAGGACACTGGGAAAATACCAGAACAGACCAAAATGAACGTAAACTGTATAGGACCTCGCCATAAATATTATAAAGCGGTGAGAATTTATTGCAGGCTTACCTGATACTCATTGGGCCAGAAAGTGCTGACAGCCAACTCTGCTCGAAGCCAGTCTTTGCCAGTGGAGCTGGTGACGTTCCAGATGGGATTAGCCAGCGGCCCTTTGTTCACCCTAACCAGGATGTTCAAAGTGCCCGGGTTTGCTCCATTCTTGCTGTACAGAAGGTAGCTGAAGTCGATGCAGTGAGTATCATTTTCTTTCATTGTTGGAAGCTGGAGTCGAGTCTTTTCTCCAGGGTCGTGGTCTGAAGAAATCACTATCATATATGATCCTAAAGAAGGGGGGAGTGGAAAGAAAACAAAACAAAACAGTAGTAAGGAAAAAGATAAATGTCAAGAAACTGATTGTTCAACTGTGAAAAAGGATGGAATGCAAAGGTTTTCCTATCCCAAAATCTCAAAATTCAAGTAGCAAGAAATCCAGCAAGGTATAAAATGCCTAGAAACATCACTGAAGCAGTATCTACAGAAGACATCACATATCTCTGAGGACCTATCTAGATGCTTTCACCTACAAACCTTACTCTCTCCTGTTTTAGGATCAGATAATTGGAAAGAGGATCACAGACGGACTGAATAAAAATAATGAGAGGAGCAAAGGATCATCATTATTCTGAGGTCACTGAGGCCAAAATTCTCTCAACTTGCTCCACAGGTTTTCTGAAAAAGAAAAATATGGAATAATAAGGTCCACATTCCTCAGTGCACCTTTATCACACCTTTCTCTACCCAGAAAAAGAGGCAAGACTTGAATTTTAGAATCATTAGCAATAGAAATAGCTCACTTAGGACACCTAGCCACATCTGTCCTGAAAATTTGGGTTTGCTGCTCTGTTCGCCAATGGATTTGAGGGGATAACAGAAGTTTCTATAGCTGGAAAAAAGCTCAACTTGTAAATTTATTTTACAAGTATACAGAAGACAGAACAAGCTGAGCCTGTCTACCTACAAAGGCAGAAAGAGGAAATCAGATGTTTAAACAGGTTATACAGGACATAGTGCTGAAACAGTTTGTCCTGTTGTTCTGCAGAATGGACAGTAAAGACAGGGCTACCATCTATCCTAGCCCTAGAGCACCCCCATTTCTTCAAGAGCAAGAACTCCATATCAGGTACTATCTAGTGAATGAACCCCACAGAACAAAGCTTCTGAGACAGGCAAAACATTACAACCAGGTGAGAAAATCCAACTCAGTATACAATCTGAACCCCTGCCGCAGGAAAGTTTCCTAACCTGAACTTACCTCCCCTCCTGCTTAATGATTCCACAAGCTTCATGTTAACAGATTTTGCTTCTACTTCTACACCTAAAGAGCACCAGAATAAGGAGCCCTTCCTCCTGAAGAAGGCTCAGATGAGATCCATCAAAAATACAGTTCAAAAACTAGCTTAAGTTTAAAAAATCATAGATTTGTGAGCACTTGGCCAAATGAGTAGCCCCATAGAAGCTCTGAGAGTATATACACGAATGAGCATTTACTGATGTAAAATCTTCTCTGAAGTATATATTTGTATAAACTATTACCATTCTGTACATGAAGTTTGTCCTTTGATTTTTATGCAACAAGGAACTATTGTGTTCTAATATGTCCTAAACAGTTGTATTAACCATTCTGAAAATTGTTGACAAGCTGGTGCTCAGGAGATGAAGATTTATGTATACGGATTAAGTCATCTGTGTGACATACTAATTTACTGGCCTGTAAAGATATTCTGTGCTAAAAAAAATTTGTAACAAAAGAGAAAGCAGTATGATAGAATGAAAGCAGCTATTATTAAAGTACAGTACCAGGATCTTGATTTTTAATACCAAACTTAAAAAAAAGGCTTTAAAGAAAACTCTACTATAAGGTAACATGAGCACCCAGTTAATATTTAGAATTATATGCAGAATCCATTATCGGATTCATAGAATCATCGAATCATTGAGGTTGGAAAAGACCTCTAAGATCATCGAGTCCAACCGTCGACCCAACACCCCCAT